AAAAAAAAAAAACCACCCAAAACTTTCCTCTCCCCTTCGCTCTGGAGTGGTGCAGACAAACGTGTCCACACAACGCCCCTTCTTTGACACTGACGCGAACAGCCCCCACTGCCCTCCCCGCACTTTTCTGCCCCCTCTTTTCTGCTGCCGAGATTTTTAAAAAGCGAGAGAAGCCACTTCGCTTTCCCTCTTACCCCGCACGCATTTTTTTCTCTCTCCTGTGCCTGAGAAAGTTAAGTGCTTCTATCAACAAGTGTAAGGGAATGTTTTCAGCCGAGATTCGATAGGGAAGGGCTTTTTCACATGTACAGATTCCACTGGAGAAAGATCTGACCCATGGTTTGGCATAAGGGACCTCATAAAATCAAGCTCACACGCACATCAATGTAACCCCCCTCTTCCATATATACAACATACACCCCCCCTCCTCAAAATCTCTGGATAGCCCCCCCCCACTGCCTCCCTCAGCCTCAGATCAAGGTCACTTCTCTTGGGAAAAACCCAGCTCTCCTGCCTTAACGAGATAATTATGCCCTGCACCACAGTTAAAAACTCATAGGCTGCTTCCCTAGGGATTGCTAAGGAGCCTTCCTAATGAAAAGCAGCCACTGAGAGAGGAAAAATGAGTTTTTCCTCTTTAAAAATAAAAAAAAAAGGAACAAGCTTTGAAAAGTGAGGCAGGGGCTTGTTATTAGTGTCTGGTGAGGGGCTGCAGTCAGGACAATGAGAGAAGAGATTCATTATTTTTTTCTTCCTTTTGATGTATCTGTGCCTATCGCGATTCTTCCTCAGTGCCGCGGGTGAGCTTGTTTTTGAAGGCACATGTGTGTACAGCTATGTGACCTGTATTGGCGATCCAAACTCCTAGCTCATAAAAATCTATTCCTGAACTCTTAACATGTCCTACAATATCTCAGCTAGGGCTCACTGAGTGAATCGAGTTAAAATTTTGTAGCAAGTTTTACTTGTGCATTCTGTTTTTCGGTAACAGACATGCCTATTTTAAAACAAGAGCAAGGGTGGGTAGGTTCAGAGGCTGTTTTTTAAGCTTCCAAAACAGGACTCCAGCCTTGTTCATTAGAATTAAATGTTGCCAATTCTGATCTTCTTAACCCTGGTGTGAACTGGAAATAACATCACTGAAGTCAGCAGAGAGACTCCGGATTTAGATGGGTGTACCTGAAATCAGAGCATGGATCCCTCTGAATTGGAGTGAGGCGATTTGGGCTGATAAACAAGCCAATCCAAACTGTTTTCTTTTTTCAAAATATGCTGTTGCATGACTTTAGCGATGGGCTGTCAACCTGAGAGTCTCTGACCAAAGGACAGGTAAATCATGGGAAGAAGCACGACAGGTTTCCCATCTTGCTCTGTCACCAATCAGCTCCTTGACTGAGCTGCGGGGTCCATGTCTATGGATGAGAGTTGAGTGTGGTCTCCTGGGCTTGTATAATCTGACTCCCCCAAAGAATTTAGCTCATTTAATATCCTCTGTGACCTAATCGTCATCTCCACGTGCTAGTGTCACAAAGAGTAAATTATGTCTTCAAATGGGTAATGAGCAGGAGTGGATGGAGTCTGAAGGAATAAAGACCTTGCTGTCATATAAATGTCTGTAAAGTACTACAGAATAAATGGAGAGCAAGACAGGATGCAGAAACGAGAAACAGGCCCAGGCTAAACCCTTGAATCAGACCTCCTTTGATTCTTAGATGGTTTGGAATCTAATCTCTTGGTCTGAGCTCTTTGGTTCCGGGTTTTATCCAAACCCAGGAAGGGCCTGTTTTGTTGTTCTGATGCTGGTGAAATCTCATGAGAACAGCTGGTGAGATAGCATCACCACCAAATCCGAACTTAAAAGCCTTATGCTGACTTGACCTCGTCCCTGAATCAGAGCCTAAATCAAATCTAAATTTGGACAATGCTGGCCCATCCTTGGTATAAACAGAATGCTTGTACGGCTTACAACATTTTTCAGTTTTCCTAGAGGAGTCAGCAGCTGGAGCCTGGAATGCTGTCCTTATGAAGAGTCACTCGGGTCAGATTTGGATTCAAACTTCCTCAAGGTTTGCAGATATTGGAGCTGAGCTTTTGGTTTGGACCCATTTCTGTCCTTAGCCTTGTGTGTTGTGTGGGAAAGGATTGTGTTTCTGGTAGTACCAGAGAAACAGGGATGGATGGCTTCCGGATGGAATGGATAGCATCCCTTCCATGTCAGGTTTGAATTAATCCAAAATCTCAATGTGAAACCATCACATTTGGCCTGGTTTCCACCAGGAACCGTAAAGAAGGCCTGAAACTGGGCCCAGAGTGGCTCGTCAGCAAACTCTCCAGTAATACTTACCATTTATGCAGCAGTTTACATTTTTGAAGTACTTTAGTAAGATTCATGAATTAATACTTCCCAACAGAGCAGGTCAGATAAGAAAACAAACGTATTGGCTTTTTTTCCAAATGTTTCTGCTTTTTTTTTTTTTAGTTACGGAAGTTTGAAATTCATTCTATTTTGACCAGCTCTATAGCTGGCTAAAAATGGAGGGGAGGAAATTTCATCAAAATGTTCCCCTGCCTATTTTGTATTGATTGAATTTTCAAAATGTTGTTAAAATTTCAAGCAGCTCTGCACACAAAACCAACCCTCTTGGGAGGTAAGTGAGGATTATCACCCCCATTTTAAAGAAGGGGGAACTGAGGCTCAGAGTAAAAGACCTGCTGCTCTAGTCATTGTCCTTAGTACACGAAGGGTTAAGTCCCAAGGGTTGCCAAAAGTTACCCTGAGAGTCATTCACATAGTCAAGGTAGGAACCTTCGAACACCCAGCTCCAAACGCAGTTCACTAAGCCATGCTGCCATTTGGCAAATGTGAACCAAGTTTTGCTTGGTTTCAGGTTTTGCTACCAGAGGTTTGCCCAGCTGTGTTGTTCCCTCTTGTCAATTTCTGACTTGGGTGAACTCTTCCCGGGAACCATCAAGACAGAGATTACTGGGATTAATCCTGAAGCACACCAGACTCGATTTTTCTCACGATAGTCGATCCAGCAACGGCCTGGCGGATATTTTGGCAGCTGTGGCTAGAAATGTATCTTTAAAAGAAGATTGGGTTTGCCCAAGAATCTGCTCTCCGCGTCCATTATTATACACCAGGGAGGTCATAAACGCTGTCAGACCGGTATGACTCAGTTATGTCTTGCAGTTACTGTAACTTACAATGAAGTTCTATAAGTATCAGACCAAGCTGTGAACGCTGAAGGATTAACAGGGCTGCCCAGCGCTGCCCCTCTCTGTTTGGGGGATGGAGATCTACCTCCCACAGCTGGACAGTGGGCAGCACTGCTGGGCACCTCTCACAACACACTATTTTAGGGCATCAGAGGCAACACAGCGGGACTGGTGGAAAGCTAGTCGCTTAATACTGGCAACTAGGGTTCAAGTGCTGGCTGCTAAGGGCTGGTATCTGCTGGTTAGGGATTGAGCGTTTGTGGCTAGAGGATAGGTCCTGAAGGCTAGGGACTGGCCTCTGACCTTCCCACAAGCCTTCTAATTGCTCAAACCCAGAGGCCTTCTTTTAGCTGGGTAACATCTTGCTGTGATTATGTTGTGGAGCGCTGGAGATCTGCAAGGGCTATTCATTTTCGGGCCATGGGGGAGGGGGAGGCTGAATGGTTTAGCCTTGTCTCACTCCTACCCTATTTAATCGGGGTTATAATTATCATCAGCATCATTGTTATTATTTAGACCCTATTCTTGAACCCAGGCCAGCCTGTTTCTTTCAGAGGAGAGTTTTGCTCAGTTCAGGGTGTTAAATAATGAAATGGAGGGATTAATCGGCAGTGAAACCCCCTTGGGCTCGCACTTCCTCAGCCCCTGTGATTGCTGATATTTTTTTGGGTGAAATACGACCTTTTTTATGATCAAAGGGGATCAGAGTTCCAAAGGAAAGAAAAAAAGGCAGAGAGTTTTCTTTTTCCCAATCCTAGCGGTCTGGTAAAGTTTCTTTAGACATGCAAAGATTTACACACCTTTCTGCAGGGTGCCTTAAATTACCCTCCAACTCTTTACACATTTCCAGGAGCAGAGCAAGAACAGTAAGTCATTGAGAAATTAACTGGCCTTTCAATAATATCCCCTGTCGGCCTTTCAGAAGGGGAATGTCTAATGACTTTTTTGAAGTAGAGGTCAGGGTTTGCTTTTTTTAAATAAAACAATCTGTATTAATGCAATTTCCTTTTCAGCTGTAGTATTAGATTTTTTTTTAAAGCATCATTTTCCCCCCCTCCAGCCATACGATGCATCTAGAGTTAGAGACATTTATTTAAAAACACCTATCTCCTCGCTTTGCTGGCTCCTCCGGATGGGATCCTAATGTTTTTTTAAATTTTCATTTGTTTTAAATTATCAAACCCAGATCTCAGCGGGGCCCCAATTCAGCAATCCATCCCTCATCCTTGTTCAGCGACGCATTTAAGCACATGCTCAACGGGACTTTAGTGCATGCTTAAAGTTAAGCATGTGTGTTTTGCTGAATAGCTTAAAGCATGTGATTAAAAGCTTTGCTGAGTTGTGGTGTAAATGTGGCATATTTCCATTGAAGTCAATGGAGCAATGCCAATTTACCCCTGCTCCGGATCTGGCCCATTGTGTGGTCAATGTTTGTGAAGTCTGCAGTTTGAAACCCTTTGGATGGACTTTTTGTTGCCATGTCCTGTTTCCTTCCGGGTTTTTTTTTCTAAACCTTTTTTTTTGT